TTAATGCAATCACTCAAAAAATTTTCACCCGAAAGCATCAGAGCTATTGCTCGAAATCCAAATTTTGATTTACAATTAATTGGAATATATTCTAAATCAGATTTCCAACATCACATTAGAACACAACACTTTCAAGAATTATTAACACAATTGGACACAATAAAAAGACAGTCAATTGACCAGAACTTAAGAAAATTTGCCGAAACCGCAGGATTTGCAGATGTTTATACACAAGATTATAGCGGATATTTTAAAGACATTTAAGACTACATAAATTTAAACGGTGAAAAATACAGACCACAGGATATTTCACCTATAAATATTTTCAGTTTTGTCACCCTAAAAAACGAAAATCTAGCTTTTCTAGGATGGCCCTATTACATCTTCGAAAAATTAACTATCTTATACGCAATGTTTAACTTTATAGGATTTCTTTTTTCGCTCTTAAAAGGAATCTATAACACGTGCGCTATACACACACAAATAAACAGACAAGCAAGTGTAGCACGCATACTGTTTGCAGGATTTTTTGGAATTTTTTCATCATCAATAAACAAAATACTTCTGGATGCACAAATAAAAGAATATAACACGAAAATGTCCACAAGACAGAACACTTACGACGAAGAACACAATAATATAGAGATAACACCTACCGCACGACAGTTGCCACCCCTACCACAAAACCATTCATTATCATTAGTTCGCCGTAATTTCCGAAACCTAGCAATCACAAATAATCCAAATTCTAGACCAAATATACCACAAAGCCCCATCCAACATATAATAACACATCATTCACAAACTGATAATACATAGGAACAAATTATAGAACAACCCCACACCACCACTTTTCAGTCTCAAAATAAACATTTTTTTAGCCCACGATGAGCCAACAACTTGGATCCTTACATCGCTCAAATTCCCACCCAGCCAACCTCCAAACTCAAATCCCAATAATCCCACTTTTTGCTTTCCCAACACCCGATTTTCCGATTATTAATATATCATCAAGCACGAATTCTGATACTAACTCAGATATTTCAGTTTTATACTTTATCTCACAATTTAATAACCCTAATGTAGAAACCCCTGACGAATTTGCAGACTCCGAACTATCTCCATTAAATAATATTCAGACCAACTCCTCAGTTTTCTCAAAACCCCTTTTTCAACCAATTCCATCAAATCATTCACTCCCATCCATTCCCACTCCTTCTCATGCTTCGCAAGTGACCCCAACCTCCTCTCCACTTCACTCCGTCAGATCATATAATAATTCTCCAGATACCCCCCAAATTTCCCAGGAACTCGACAATTTTATTACCCTACAACAACAGTTAATACACCCTAACACCCTCACAATACATCAACTATCATCCACAATAGAATCCTCAAACCCACCTACTGCTACAACCTCCTCAGCTTACACTGCATCATTCACACAATCACCCACATCCACCGAAACACCTAGTAGCACTCACCGAGCTTATCGCACTTTTAAACGAAAATTCCCGAATCACCCATTCCCGACCAAACCCGGAACAGCCTGCGAATATATTAATCACCCGCAACACACAAACACGAAAAATTTTCTAGCAATCACCTTACCCTCATTTCCAAAATATACATTAAACACACTTAACGATACTAATGACACACGTAGTTTTGTAGATGAACATGTTTTAATGCCAACACTTCATTGGACAGCTTATTATCATTTTACTAACCCCCTTTGCCTGCCACTAACTAATACTCATGACAGCATAGAAAAGAACAAAGACATGTTATATAGACTTACTACAACACTAAAACCTGGAGAATTTACTTACGTAGGATATAAAAAATTACTAAAAACTTTCACTGCACCCCGAACTAACGAATTTACAATAGAATTTTACGACCATAATATCATCCGACCTAATCAAGACCAATTTTTAGATGAAGACCGCTTCACTAACCCGCAACTAACAGAAAATTTTTTCATCAAAACATCATACGTATTCACACTTAATATTTTTGATAGAAAGTATGATCACATCATTTCAGAATCACTAGCTGATATTCAAGCTTACGAAAGTTTCCATGAAAAATTTCAGTCATTTTCACTAACCTTTCACTTTCTTTCACCACATGAACGCAATTTGCACTATTCCCACGATATTATGTTACGCACTAAACAAACCCACATATATACATACTATCGTTTTATACAAAATCATTTTGATTTGCATACCTCATCAAGACAACCTCACCATTGTTTTCAGTTTCTTAACTCAAAACACACGTCACCATTTTTCCTTAATTTTACATATTGCATCAAAGATACTAACCTCCACGGCATCCTCCGCAACTATGACCCAGTTACCCAAATGTAAATATTTTGTCTCATCAGGAGGACCTTTAATGCCGAAGAATCCAGACCCTTCCTTATCACGCATGAATTTATCCAGCCTATTGAAAAACCAATATTAGAATTCATTCACAATACTAAATATAATCATAAAATATATAACCTCATTCAAAACACACCTTACGAGTTTGCAGTAGGCACTGAAGAACTAAAAACCATTAAAGCACTTCAATTGCTTTGGCCACTGCTACAAACTAAAAACATCATACGCATACTAGCCAAATTACTAACAACATCAGATATGATACACGACATCTTCCCCCACGGCTTTTTCCCAGACGATTAACAGGTAAGGATAACTTAAAATACTCTTCACTAATAAATTTAATTGTTTGATTTATTTTTCTAGTCTTCACATCACGATCATCCACAAAACAGAAAAGAAAAAGAAAAATACAAACTTGTTAAATTCTCTTAAAATTCGTTAAACTTTTGCACTAAAAAACGTAAAAAAATTCATACCAAATGTAGCAATTTTATCTGTAAATTATTTCCCCATGAAGCTGTAAACTGAATTATGATGAAAATTTATAATTTTAAATTTCCCCCAAACGCAGTAAAATTCAAATTCTATGCAATAAATTGATAAAATGAGAAAGCAGTACTAACCTTTTCAAATATTTTCATTCACTCGCACAAGAATTCTATCCAAACTCGCACGGCTCGCCCACGAAGAATTGTTTAAATAATGATTTTAAGTTTCAAGTTTTCACACTCAACAACTCTAACACACGATAACAAGTTTCAAACTTTCCTTTAACCCGGTTGGAAAGGAATTATATATTAAACCAAACTAACCAACGCAGCTTACTAAACACCACAAATCATAAAATAACAGCATGACTAAGAAAAGAAAACCAACGGTACCCACACCGGATTAACCCAGTTTAAAACTGGATTATTTATTCTTTTGAAGACTATTATAAAGTCTAAGAAAGAAATAATAAAACACAAAAAAGTCGCAAGACAAACCCATATGAAAAAAAATTTGATTTTTGAAAAAAGGACACAACCAATGTAACATAAGAAAGACCAACATAAACCCAACATAAAACGTTACCACATAACAGGACCTCTCAAAGAAACAGCATGAAATCATACTCCCACTCCTGGCCTAACCCACCAGAGGGGACGTCCTGAGCATGCTCTATAGCCGGCCTAACCCACCGCGCTACATCCACGCTCTGTGACCACACTTCTATTTTTAATAAGAGGTACTCAAGGGTGAGTAACTCTTCAAAGTAACCAAACTAAAACAAAACGCTTTTGTGAAAACGACTAACTAAAATCATGATTAAAAAATTGAATTAACATAATTTTATAAAATGTAAATCATACTTTGAAGTATATAGATCAATACACAACAACAAAGACGAACATCCAAAGACTAGATGATCCCATCACACTCGAACAAAAGAATGGCTAAGCACAACCGACATGCCGTCCACAATCACAACTCAAAGGATTTAGAGTACGACTTGACTTCGCAGAAAAGGACTTCATTGAACTAAACCAATGACCACCTCGATGTTCAAGTATACGTACAGATCCGAGTTACGAGGCATCCCTTCCACACACGATCTTCACGCCATTCCCAGACGAGGTTGCACACAAAACAAGTTCTCTACATAAAACAGAAAAACCCGTCATAGCAAACCATTTTGAAATCAGATTGATTTCGTTGGGGATCACAGTCTTGTTAAAAGACGACGTAACAATTTCATGTCCCTAATTCCAGCGTCCTGGAACTTCTTCTCCAAGAGGAACCGGACAAGAATATGATGTTCGCCAAATACCAACGTTCATCATCCATCCTTCAAATTGCAGAAAGATAATTCTAAAAAAACTCTGTAAAACCGGATGGGTGGAACCTGATCTAAATTACATTTTATGATTGGATAAATTAGATATTTTACCACTGTAAAGTATTTAATATTAACCAATCATAATCCATCTTACTAACAACCCACTTATTTGTAAGTGCTGAAATTACTTGTAATTTCAGCATCAGAGAGATTTGAATTTAACTTAGAAATTAGTTGCCTCTCCAAGAGAACTTCAGCTGCCGCAATACGCCAGTATACTCTAGATCTATTGAGCCTAGCAGAGACTAGTTAAACACCCTGAGACTAGTAGATATAAGAGTAAGATTAGGATCGGTATTAGACTAAGAAGTTGCACGAATCTATCCGGCCGAAAATAAGATAGCGTGACTAGCAGACGGTGTACCCTATCCGAAATTCCTCTATGAGTTAACCAAGCCCATCATAACTCATAAGGGTGAAAGGGAGGCTGATGCCGTCAAAAAACCCAAAGTTTTGGTCATAAATTTTCAGAAAGTTCCCAAAAACACCCTTTATAGCCAAATTTTAGCAGAACTTGAAATAATAAATGAATTTCTGTGCAGGTGATTTGAAGTGATGGTTATATCGAAGCAAAACTTTTTCTCGGAGGATCAATTTGGTCGACCTAGAAAAAATTCATCAAGAATTTCCACGATTCGCACTTGTGACCCATCAGAACTTGTTTTATCTTCTCTTAGTCGATGCGCTTTTCAGCCGATTTTTAGCAGAATTTGAAATTAATAATTAATGTTTCCGCGCAGGTGATTTAAAGATATTCTTATGGCAAGCAAACGGCAAAAAATACATTTATCAAGCTTAAAATCAAACTAGTCAAAAGATGGCGTCTTATTTATCAGGTTTGTAGATGTTCACTTTAAAACTCATTTTCGATCTAATTATTGAAACACTTGATTTTCAATGTCTGACTTCATGGAAATTAGTTGACGGTTCGTCATCCTTTTCACAAACACTGCTATGTCTAGAGCTTGCAAAAATGTGAAATCAACTAGTTTAAGCGCTAATTACGGTTCAGAACTGAAATTTGTTATTATTTTTTCTTTCTGGGGTAACCCTTGAGCAAACGGCCCAAATGGGATGAAAATCACAGCAACTGATGTTTTTTTCTTTCGCTTTTGATCACTTTCAATCTTCTTTTTAGCGGTGTCCCTAGCTGTGGTCCTCGTAGTATGTACAATAACGTGGCCTCGGTTGACCTTGGGTGCTGATGATGACGATGATGATGATGGCATGTGTGACAATGACTTGCAGTGTGAAATCATAGCTGCCTTCACCACCAGTGCCAAGACAGAGTGCTGCGATGGAGAGTGCAGGGAGACGTGTTTGAGTGTGGGGTAAGGGTATGGACACGTGAGACTTAATGGACCTGCATGCAGTGTAGATTGCTTCTCTTCCAAAAAAGACGCACTGGAGGGGGGGGGGGTGTTGTTAGGACTCGCTATTATCAATTGCTTACCGCCATTTTCTCAGCTATCAAGTGCCAATCCTCTCTCTTTTCTAACTCTGTTTCAAACTCATTCTCTGTGATTATTGAAAGATTATAGTCAAACGCTCTTGAATTTCAATAATAGCTAAGCATCTCAAGGAAGTCATGTTCCTTATATGTATGTTTTTTTTTGCTGTGATGTGAAAGAATGTTCCGCGATAACTGAAACTATTCCTGAAGTAAGCCAGCCATTAATAGATATTTCTTATTTAAACTTCGAAGCTTAAAGTAATACTTTTTTCCTTGATTAAAATGAACATCAGCACAGACTGCATCTTATCGCAAAATTTTCAAGAGAGAAAGTGTAAAATTGGAAAACTTGAAATCAGAAAAACAGAAAGCTAATTCATTCTGGCTGATAGTGAGATCCACTCTCTCGGAAAATGTCTTTTGAGTGTACTTTGATTACTTCTGCAGCAGTGAGTTTAAGGGAGTGCGGGATGCCCGCAGTGACAAAAATGGATAAACATCTATTATATACAGAAAAATCTACAATTTTACAGAAGTTTAAGATTCATTTATTTACAACCATTTTACGCACGATAATAGATTCTATACATATACATTGATTTTTTTCATCAAAAATGAATTTATTTCGATGCCAATATAATAAATAATTGAATTTATAGTGTACAGGTAATTGATTTGCCATCGTGGATCTACGTGTAACGCAAAAATTGTGTGCGTCAAAAAACGCGAAATTGTTTTGTCCAAAACTTCAAAAAACTGCTTGAAAATGTACGAAAGCTCGGAAAATCACTTTGATTGGCCTAAAAAAGGAAAACTTTGCAACATATTGAAAAATTCGCCCTTCCTCTAGAAAATGCTAGATTGGAGCCAGTACTCTTGTGTGAGCATCTTTCTCATTAATTAGGAAAGATGCGCATACAATATTACACATTGTTTTTGTTGTTTTATCGAAATATTGTTGTACACATTGTTTTTCCAAAAAAAATAACTCCACGAGCGGTTCGTTTTTTTTTCAACTTCATTTGATAATTTGAAAGCTTACGATTTTTTCCATAATGATAATTCAAAACTAGTTCTTGCAAAAATTGATCATTCATATGCTCATAAGTCCGTAGATGGCTGCTGGTTCTTATTTTTGACTTGTTTTGATGTTTTTGAATCATTTAATTAAGGAAACCGATTGAAAACTACTCAGTTGACTTGACGTTTCAGACTTCTGATTCTGCTGTTTGTCCTTCTTCCCTGCCTCGGATGTGTTCTCTGCGTGGGATTGGTCATTGGAGGCATACTTTGTGCCATTAAACTCAGCAGTAAGTTCAACTTCAAACCCTCCCCCTTCCCTCGTCTCAAGGATTTTGGGTCGAGTATTGGTATTACTCTTACTTTAAAACGTAAGAAGAGCACTCCGGTTCGGGTTAATTCCATTGTTTCATCAGATTTATAACATTTAGTTATAAGCAGATCTAAATCAAGCAAAAATTGGGCTAGAAAAATTTCAACCGCTGATAGAAAATCGACATGTATGTTCGAATAGATCCAACAGTCCTGTCGCTTATTTGCGTTTGTGCGATTTGCACAGTATCTATGAAAGGCTATCCAGCCTGTCTAAGCTTAGTCTGTTTTTATCAACTACCCACATTCCAGACAATAGTTTGAAAAGTTATTTTGTTCAGCGGTTTTTAGAGTCTAGAACCAGGGGCGAACCTAGGATTTTTTCGTGGGTAGACGGGGTTACTTTCGAAAAGTTTTCTAATTTTTTGATGTCGTAAAATAGTCCCAAAGGGTAGGGGGAAACATTAATTGGGTGGCGAGGGGGGGGGGGGGAGAGTTGGGTGTAGAATCCGTGAAGGGGAGAGCGTCTGCCCCCACATCACACAGGGGATCGAATACAACTTTTGGCTGATTTTAGACCAGAACAAACAAGTAGGTCAGGTGATAGTCAGGGGACCAAGTGCTGCAATGGCCCATACCGGAAGTGTCCACTACAACGCTCCATGTCCATACCCAGTGCCTCCTTACAACAGCGCACAGCCACAGTCTGCTCCTCTGTACATGCCTCCTCAGCCCCCTCATCCTCAACCGCCCCCCGCGGGTTATGTGAACAATTATGACCAATCGAACAACTGCCAGTCGCCAGCTGTCAATTACTGAAAACGAAATATATTGATTTGAATAGCATGATCGGGTTGCTTATTAACGTTTTACATTGCCCGGTTCTTTTTCCTTCCCCCTCCCCCCACCTCACTCAAACATGAATTTTATGATCTAACGAGTAATTTTACAAGGTTAATTATGAAGACCAAATATGTTTGACATGGCCTAATTAGCCTGCATGTCAATTTTCATGACAATCGGACAAAGTGAACAGTAACTTCAAATATAAAAATTTGCAGGTGGGGGGGGGGGAAGGAAAAAGAGCCCATTGCCCTGATTCGATTAAATTATAAAGGTTTGTATAATCACAAAAGCGAAATAAAACAAGATTAGTCGGTTACTGTGAAGGTAGCAGAGAATGTTTCGAACATAGTCTTAAAAATACAACAAAAAGTTTTTTTAAGTTTGACAGTCATTGTAAACTGGGCCAATTGCAAAAAAAAAACAGTTTTTGAGGAAAAATGACTAGAAACACGAAAAAAAATCGTTAAAAATTATTGAAACAGTTTTCAAAGGCGCGAAACAACACCAACAACTAACTTAACTCGAGTAAAAACTCAAACTAAGCTTAAATAACAATTTTGAAGGCATGCACGCTGACCATATTAGCTCAAAATTAGACCAAAAATCAAAAATTTCTAACCGGTTTTTCTCGACACAGAATAAAAAACGTTCGAATCACGCCCATTTCGATGATTATCTGCGGCACCTGATTTTGCGTGGAAAACATCAAAAAAAGGAATAAAATAAATTAGTTCCGAATACAAAGTTCCTCCCCAGTTTTCAAATGGTCGGAACAATCATCAATTAATATCCATGAAATTCTAGTGCGTCTTGCCATAAGAGTTTCATCTAGAGCATGAGATGGAGGTTATATCCATGGAGATATGTTTTTTTGCGCGCCATTCTTTCCTAAAAATAGAAGATAATGGCACCCAAAGTTCTCTTAGAAAAACTTTAAGATCCGTAGCCAAATTTTTATTGATCGGAACAATAATGGATGATTATGTAATTGGCGCAGATGATAATGTATTTTGATTGGATGATAATTTTTTCTGCCTCGTTTCGGTTTTGAGGCAGATCGGTTTCCGTTAGCTGGCCGATCGACAATATTTCTTTTCATACGTAAATTAACCGTAACTATCGGAAATTACAAGTCAACAAAGAATAACGAACTGCCATAAATTTCGGTACTTAAAAGCAGAATTCAATGTCATAAAATGCGCAAAAGGTGCCTGAATAATTTGTGAACTTTGTTTCGGTATTCACACAGTTCTTCGCTCTCCAGAAATATCATTAGTTACGACCTTGATTTTTCTATTTATGAATTCTGAATTATAGCGAGAACAATAATGTTTTTCAATTCTTTTGCATTTTTCATTTTTATCAAGTGAGATTGACTTCTGCTCAGAAAAAAAAATCACAGGAATCGATTTTGAAAATTGCTTTGGCTTTTAAAACTCAAAAGCGTGAACGAAATATGCCCTGTAGTTTTTCATCATTTATTACAATATATCGAATTCAATTAAGATAAATTATTCTGAGATATTGCAAAACTGTTTCCATGAAAGTTCATTTTTTGAGTTTTGATTTAAAATGTTTATAAAGTTACAGTTACTACCATTCATTAAAGGTCGTTTTTGAATTTTAACTAATGTTTTTTGTTTAAAAACAAGCAAGTTAGATTAAGTAGCTCTATAATCAATCTTTTGATTTCAACCCACTATTTTTAGAAAGCAAACAAAAATTGTTTAAGTCACGGCATTCAAAAATGAAACGAAAGTCAAAAGAATATATTTTTTTATAAAGATTATAAATGAGGTCATAAATTTAAAGATAAAATATATTAAATAAATACAGATAGAAGTTATGTAAAATGATAAACACTAAGTTAACAAGACTGATCTTATATCAAGGTGAAGCACTGGCTGTTCCGACTGCCCTATTGGTCTTGATTATATTTTGGTATTTTTTAAATCAATAGAAGTTCTTCTAAAAAAGACATTTTTTGGGTTTTTTGGGCAGATTTTGACAACTGTTGGCGTTTTTATCGGGGCTGGCTACCCTTTCAAACTGGGTTTCGTGAAGTAATAGGTACGAACGTATATGGAGCAACTATTCTGTTATCTGAATGAATCCTTAAACGGTTCGTCGAAGTTTTGGTTTCCGGTAAAAAACTAAAAATGAATTGGATTTTTTTGACAAGTTTTTGAATAAAAAATTATCCTTTAGGGAGTTCTTTGTAAGCTATGTTTATTTTCTGTGCAGTTCAAACTTGGTCTTCGAACTTTTGAGTAAATGTGAAGTGTTGTAAATGCTGCATTCAGTTTTAGAGAACCTTACAAAAGTAGGAAGATTTATAGCGAAACTTAAATTCAAATAGAATTGAAATTCTTATGCGAGCATCCATTTTTTCTCAATCTTGAGCAATCATTTACTCTCTTATTTTTTGCATGCTTTATTATCAAATGCTAATTTTAGTTTTGAGGCAAAAAAAATTGTGTTCAAAAAAGTTTTCAATTGGATTTTGGAACCTTATCTAAACTACATTTTATTGTTGGATAAATTAGATATTTTATCACTATAAAATATTTAATATTAACCAATCATATCCCATCCAACTAACAACCCACTTATTTGTAAGTGCTGAAATTACTTGTAATTTCAGCACCAGAGAGATTTGAATTTAACTTAGAAATTAGTTACCTCTCCAAGAGAACTTCAGCAGTCGCAATAAGCCAGTATACTCTAGATCTATTGAGCCTAGCAGAGACTAGTTAAACACTCTGAGACTAGTAGATATAAGAGTAAGATTAGGATCGGTATTAGACTAAGAATTTGCACGAATCTATCCGGCCGAAAATAAGATAGCGTGACGAGCAGACGGTGTACCCTATCCGAAATTACTCTATGAGTTACACCCTACATCTTAACTCATCTGGTGCGACCATAAGTCTCGAATAAAGACCTTAAAAAAGAAAATAGCTTAGAATTAACCAAAAATAAATTAGAAAATAGACAAAACATTTTCAAAATGTTACTCGACAATAACTTAATTGAAATGTCTCTACGACTCAATAGATCAGAGCCGCTATTCCGCACAATACGAGAACTACCCGGTATTGAAAAAAAGACCTCGGACAAGAGACGACATACGACTACATAGAAACTTACCATTTAGTTTCATGGTCGTACGGCAAAAGCCAACACAAACTTTTATATTTAGAATCTTACTAGCAGTGAATTTAGATTTTCATTTGCAAACATAAAATCCTTGAAGGAAATCTTCAATGATTATTTCAGGCGCTAGATAAAAATATTATTGTACAATAACGATTGATAAAACATCTCAAATCGTTCCCTCCAATTCTGCAGTAATATATAAAACATATTTGAAAAAATATTTATTGAAAACAAAAATAAAAATTAGTAGCATGACAACAAATTGTTAGTATATATAAATCATCCTGTTGTTCCAGCTTCATCACCTAAACATAACAGCAATCATAAATCAACTAATATCATCAAAAACTAAAACCTGTTACCAAATAAATTTAAATTATTTTAAACTTAATTTTAATTAACCTTAAGCCAGATCATCAAGGCTTTCCTTGGATATAAATCAATTTTTTATCTTATAAATTTTAAATTCTGATCATCAAGGCTTATCCTTGGATCAAAAGGATCAATTTTGTTCTCCCCCACCCACTTATCAAGTTTCTAACGACCTCAAACGTCGATTCACCACCCAACCTTTTCAAAAGACCCAGGACTAATAGAAATTTTTTAATCACGCTAACCATTTAAATTAGACTAAACAGTGAAGAACTTCGGTTATTCATCCTTCACTTGAACCCTCCTCTTACCTGACCCAGGATAAATTTTACACTTAGTAAGTTTAAAACAGTATCTAACGAACTATTTGTGTTCTAATTATACTTGAACCTTGTGGATCGATTTACTATTCTCCAACCCTTGAACACAATCACTACCCCTAAGTAAGATTAAGTAAGTTAACACCTTAACTTAGACTATCCACGAGCAAGTAAAATCATTCTTCGGAATCGATATACTTTTCTCTCCAACCCTGAACAAAAAGACCCAGGTTAAGCTAAGCAAAAAATCGTAAGGACTAACAGTCTAGGAAAATTAAAATCACTAATAACTTCTTGCATCCCTCATCCTAAACCTTAAGTCATTGAAAAATTTAGGAAACAAACAAACAATCGTATTGCACAATCTTTAAATAGACAACCAAAAAAACGATCTTGTAATAACCCCGCATACACAAACAGTTGGATACATTCGAACAAAATGACAAACAATAAAAAGAAAAATTATAAGTAAACAAAAACAAATAACTCGAAAATTTTTTTTCAAAAACTAGAAATGCATTCTCCGAATCAGAAGCCAATAGTCTAGACGCACTATACAAATTAAAAGAATCAGTAAATTAAAATTGCCCAATCCATGATCAGTTATATTTTTCCGATTCAGAAACAACTTCAAACTCATCAAAAAGAGGAAAAAGAAGAACAAAAAAGATATATAAACACAAACCAGTACATCTATACAATTGGAATCAACCAATTAGACATATTGATAATTATATATCAACAGTCATCAAACGAAAAAATGAGCAACACTCAAAGTGACGAAAGTCCAGACGAAGAAGCAGTTTTTCCTATTGTTATAAATCCGCTCTGTGATAGAGTACAAACACGATTTTGCAAAAATGCACTCGTAAATTTGTTTGAACCAGGAATCAGTCCATGCAAATCAGAATTCCCAGAAATAAAAATCAAAAGGCAAATTATAGAACATTATTTGAAAGACATATATAGCCTAAAACAACAATACGGAATCTAAACCATAGAAATCAGTACACCAAGAACACTTCATGGTAAATATGTTATCCAAACAGACGATATTGATTTAGAATTCTCAAAAGTATTCACAGAATATATCAAAAGCATACAATATCAAAACTCACAGAGAGCAAACTCAATGTTCACCAACGAAGTTTTTGCAATAATATATAGTTATTTATCTATATTAGAAAGAACAGAATCTCAAAGTACATCACGAGTC